AGAACTATTTATTGAAGCTTGGAATTATGTTCTTTCAGTATTAGTTATCTGTTTATCAGACATGTTTATCACAGTTTTAATAAATTACCAGTGTTGAAACTTCAGAAATGGCCTCTAGGGTATTAGCTACTGTGCTTTATTATTAAGAAGTTAGATTTCAATAAGATATTATTTATAATATACGTGCCTTGTCCTTGAGAAGAAAGCTGATGCTGGAAAAGGGAATTAAACTTTTCACTTTTAGACTGAGGCAGCAAGTCTTTATGGAGAAGTCCTAGAGGATTTAATAGGGAAGAAATAGCTAGTGTTATAGAAATGTTTTTACAGTACACATCATAGAAGCTGAAATTAAACAAGAACCTTTTCATGGGCTTTCACATCCAGCCTATAGAACTTCTTTCAGAGATTTTTTTTTCTTCTAAGTGCTGTAAGACCCTGCACACATTAATTTCTTTTAAATGCTATAGAATTTGCTCAGGGAAAAGTAGATTTACACTGGAGCTGTCTTGTATAGAGACTGCAAAATACATAGAAACATAGAAATAAACTTATAAAATGTATTTTCCATTATCAGCAAGAATCTATGGGTGGTATTTTAGAGGTCTGAAATCTGTTCATCAGTATTGATTAAAAGATGTGGTCTGACATCTTCTGGATGAATGAACTGGCCTCTGAGCAGCTACTGCGTGAGGGATTTGGTCTACACCCCGATTTAGCAAAGTCCTTAAGCATGTGGTTAAACTAAACTGGACAGGCAGGGTATGTAAATATTCAGAAGATATCAAATACAATGCAGAAACATGGTCCCTCCATGGTCCTTTCTTCCTAGACTTGGAGAAAAGTTTCCATACTTTGCTGTGAAATAAGCTGATTAAAAAAAATTTGTAAATGCATACAAGAAATGCAGAGATTTGGGGCCAATATAAAGAATGCAGGAAGCTGCCTTCAAAGCAAGTTTGTTTTTTTTTTTTTCCAGAGGTCCATTTCTCTGAACATACTAGTGTCTGGTACAGTTACTTGAAAGGAAGATGTAAATAAATACACAGGCAAAGAAATTACACTGCCAGCTCAGGTCTCTAGTGCACAGTAACTGTCATATCAGAACACCTCCTGCCCTCCTTCCTCGTGCATAACTCAGCAAAGGGGTGATGTGACTGGCACACTCTGCTCAGGGTGTCATGCAGCACACAAGCAGAAAACCAAAATCAGCTCTTACTCTGTGGGCAGATTGAGAAGTCTCTTGTGGGCACTGGTTGATGGAAATGGAAGCTACTGCCTTTAGCAATCCCTGCAGACCCAATCTGGGGACATGAAGTGCTACTTCTGCTCCTGCTGGCAGTAGCAGAAACCTGAGGAACTCAGTACTTTTAGAAAATCCAGAGCATCTCAAAATCAGTCCCTAGTGGGGTTTTGGTGGGGGTTTTGGTGTTTTTTTGCAGTAAGCCTGTACTTGGGGCGTTTTTAAGCTCCTTCCAAACATGCAAAATGTACACTCTAGTATTCCACTTCCCCACTTCCACCCCCCCCACACACTTAATAGGAGAGAACAACATAATTCTAGGTCTGCCTGCATCTATGTAGCTTGCACAAAGTACTTATTTAGTGGAAGTGAGGTTGGTAACAGATGGATAGGTTTGTAATAAAAGATGGGTTTAATTTACCTGATAAATATGCATATGACCTCTTCCAGGCTTCACTTTCCAGTTTTAGAGCAATGTTCTCATTTTGCTCAAAAACCTACAAACCTCAGTTGTGCAAGTACAGTGCAGGGATTAGTGTATGCTTAATCAATCCATATGTGGTGTTTGAAGTAATTAGAAATTGCTGGCCTGAATGTAAAAGCTGGTCCATAGAAGTTGAAGAGGTTTTCACATCAGCGTTTGAGAATCCACAAATGCTATTGTATCCTATTGACAATGGGACTTACTAGTCACAGGCAGGTACTTTGGATGCCAGCATTGGGATGTACAGATGATTAAATAAATGTGCCTAGAAAACTTCTGTCAGCAGTGCATGCTGTGTGACTGATTTGACAGCACATGTTGAGCTAGAATTTCTAGAGCATGCTGGTCTGCAGTCTGAACTGGGAACAATCCGTGATCATTTGTTAGAGGAGACATCAGCTCTTTCTGTCTCTGAGTGTGACATCTGAATATGTAGATATGCACTGAGATTAACCACTGTGGCTCATCTCTTTATTTCTAGTTGGGCAGTGTGGCACCAGGTGCGTGTGGCTGTGCCCATGACTCTCTTGTGGTGGTTCTCCCTTCATGTGGCTAAAAATGCATAAATAACACACAAATTCTTTGAGAAAATCTGCCTGTATGGAACTCAAGAACAGAACCAGAGATGGGAAGAACCAGCTGTCCATGAAAATAGTCTGAAGGAAAGCATGTTTAATTGCATTTTCAGTTCAGGGTCAAAGTTACCAGTACTCTCATGCCTGTCTGGACAGCTGGCTGGGCAGTCCTGCTTGTGGTTTGCATGGCTCTAGTCTTACAAAGCAGCTGCAGCCCTGAGCTGGTTGTTTCATTCGTATGGCATATGAATTTGGTGTTCTTCATTCTGCACATAAGCCATGTGGTTGTAGAGGAGGTCTTTAAGTATCTGGGAACACTGTTAGAAACTGCATTTCTTCTGGAAATGCAGCAAGGAAGAGATGGTGGAGAGCTTGTAAGATGGCAGCATGAGGAGCTGGCTGGAGTGCTCTTGGTAAGGTTGTAAGGGGAGGAATTGCTTATATCTGGACAGCCTGAAGAGGTGTTTGCTTGGTTGCTTAAGCACACAGCAAGTAGGAAAGCAGTTAAGAGAAAGTACATACTGTCCTGTGTTTGTATAAAGCCTTGCTCCCAGGTTTGTCACATCTTCCTCCAGGCTGTTTTTTATGACCCATGCCATTCCTCCAGAAGAGAGAGATGTTTCTGAAGATTTCTCTGTCAAATGTCCAGGATGTAGTTTGATACTGTGGAAAAATGAACTGAAGGCATAGTAAGAAGATTTCATCTGAGAAGGAGAGGTTTGGCTTGGACATACCAGTGAGTGGAGCACCAGCATTAACCAGGGAGTTTGCACAGAGAAGCCCAAGACAGCAGAGATGACAAAAGCGGGATATTTCAATCTGAAAAGACAGCTGGTTAGTCATGTAACGAAACCAAACAATGCTGGAAATTGCATCTGAAAGCCCCAGGCTCAAGAGATCTGAGCCTGCCAGGACCTCTTACCAGATTCAACACACAGGCCATGACCACAGATGTGTGTGGGCTCCCGGGAGGACTTGGATACACTGTAGCTCGGCGGCAAGTGCGTAGTCATACCTCGCAGGCAGTACAATTATTCAAACACATGTTAGCTCCTTGGCTTTGCAATTATATTTTCATTATTGACAAGATGTTCTGCTGTGCAAGGTTGTAAATATTTCTTTGAGCCACCAGAGGTCATTTGGGTTACTCAGCAGCCCTCAAGGTAGCTCCTCCCTGTCCTGTCAAAGACATGTGTGGGACTTGTAAAACATGTTCTAGATTGCCACGTTGCTTAATTATCCTCTTAGCTCTAATGAAGTGCACCCTGACTAGTGGTGCAGTCACAAACAACATGTTGCTATAATTTGGGTCATCACCAAGAACTTCAGTTACCACTCAGCTCATCAAGGTAGCATTTCAGAAAGCTGAAGGGCGTTGCTACCTAATAAAAAAAACCCAACCACTTAGGCATCAAGAACATAGCTGGAGGGGACCAGTGCTCCGACGCAAGCTATGCTTACAGGATGCCCCAAAGGTCTGCAGTGCAGATGTCTGGCAGGGAAGGCTAGGTGTCACCTAGGAGGATAAATTCTTCTCCGTTGTGTTGCTGCAATCCCAAAAGACCCAGAGTTGCTGCAGGGAAGCAGCATTGATTGTGGAAGTAACCAACAATTTTTGTCCTGTCAAGCACTGTTAAGGTAAACTGGGCTGTATAATAGGAGTGCGCTGTCTCTGTTTTTGAAATGGGAAGAGGAGCTGCCTAATAAGATGTCTCTTTTCAGCCTTTTGTTTTTGTATTAAGGTTGTCAAAACTTGATGCAAAGTGCAGGGGTTCTGTGGTTAGGTGAATATGGGCTAGATTTGAGACTGGGGATCAAAATGCTGCTGCGCAGTTTTGCAGATGTCAAGTGCTCCAGTCAAAATTCCTTACTCTCCTGTGATGGCTCTCTCATTCAGTGACATATCCCCTGTCAGGATATGGCTAGATGATCCTTTCTAGCAAGGTCTTATCCCAGCTGTCACAAAAACACTGCTGAAGCACAAGCTTTTGGCCTTCAGCCTGAATTGGACTGTAGTACATGGGAGGTATTTCTCAAGCAACTCCCAGGGAAAGATCTGTGCTTTTCCCTTCTCCCACCAGATCTTTGCCTGTGCTCATAAATTCTTACTTCAAGCCAAATTGAATTGAATGCTCAGATAATGGAGAATGTACGTTTTTTCTTTCTTTTTTTCTTTTTTTTTTCTTTTTTTTTTTCTTTTTGTGTATATGAGGTAGAAATATCCCTTCCCAAATGTTATATATAAATACATTTCCTGGGTGGTGGCATTTCTTACTGCTCTGAGTGGATGTCTTCATGGACCTGAGCTCAGGGTATGGGAAAATTCACCCCTTCTTCTTAGTGGTCTCCCATCTTTCTCTTACAAAATCCAGGATTTAGCATGTGTCAAGGGAATAATTTCTGTGGAAGCCCCATGTTTAAAAAAATATGTTGGCTGCAGTGAGAAGGTTCAAGAAGAGTTCAGATCCAGACTGAACTTTGAAGCCATTTCCTGTGCTGGTAATGGACTGGGGGGAAGGAAACAAAAAAAGAAATCCTGGCTCTTTTGGGGGAGCTTTGGATTTGTATCCTGGCCCTTCCCTGTGTAACACAGCTGTTTTTCTTGTATTCAGAATGAGGTATTATGTATAGTATGGATGTTTATGTATATTTTCACCTCCAGCTAACAATACCTGCTTGGACCTGTTAAGACTGTTTTATAAAAGGTGCTGAAGGGAGGAAAATTGCAGAGGACACTGAATGGTTGGGTATGTTGCTGAATATTTTAAATCTGAAAGTTCTCTCTAAGGCAGCTTTGCTGGTCTTGACTTTTCTTGTGAAGGAAGGGGCCCCTTTGCTCCAAAGCAGTCAGTTAGAGCCAATAGGGATCCCACGTGCTCTCAGCCCCCAGTTAATAGTGCCCTCAGCCTTAATGCATTTTACTCCCTCTCAGGATCTGACTCAACTTGTCTGGCGTCACAAATCACCATCCAGCCTTCTCGCCTGCTTCCAGTCTCTCCAAGTTTCAACTGTCAGCTCCCAGTTGTTTTATCCAGCTTACTTTGCTGCAGGATTACTTGAAAGATGATAATCTTGTGGGTAAATTTAAGGAGACCAACAGATTTTGCAGAACTACTGGGCCTTGCTGTAGGGAAGGTTTTAATTTTGGTGATGAAAGCTGGTGGTTTTATACAGCACTGTTCTCTTTGAATAGAAAGTGTGTGGGGCTTGTCTTGGACCTTCCAGTTGAATAATGATCAGAAGTTGCATTTACATGTAAATTAAAGTCTGTCCTGTGTTAATATTCCAGTTGCTTCTGTTTCTGGACTTCTCATCTATTTATCATTTGTGTGCACTGTGAGCACAGTAGGAGCGAGATACGTGTTTACTGTCACAATACTGCTTTTAAATTGGGCTGTATAAATTGGCTGGAGATACTTGCTCTTGTTTTGGGAGTCTCCAGACATGGTGGTTGATGGCAATATCATGTGACTTGTGCATTTTGGTTTCTCAGGCAACAGCATGGGGTTCAGATGAAGACACCAGGAGGTCCTGTCAAAGTAAAGGTAAAACAGAGGTAAGTTTTTCTTTGATACAGTGATGCTAGGGGTAAATTTATTTGCATCATGTGAAATCCACACAGGGAACATCTAATACCAGCTTGAGCTTGTAAATTTTCAGCAGTTCAGATCTACCAATACAAGTGTATAAGCACCGCTGAGCTAGCCATTTCAAAGGCCCTCTGTCCAAGTTATTAGACTTGCTCTGCATGAAATTTAAACGTGATTTCACTGCTGGAGAAGACATAATTTGTGACATATCAAGCAGCAAAGTGGTGGCGAGCCAGGGGTAACATCTTGCAGTGGGGTCTGGGGTGGGGCAGGTTGGCTTAGTCTAGGTACTCAGCAGTGAGCCGCTGGAATTTGGCCATATGGGCTTCAATGCTTGTTTGCAGTTAGAGTTCATCTTTGTTTAATTCTCTGGAATATGAGAATTGAATCTGTTACTGCACAGCAGTCTGATCAAGGGCAATATCAGAGCTCCTTTGGAGGCAGGTGCAGTCTCTAAACTCAGATTGAAGTAAGAATTGCTTGAATAAATGCATGCTGTCCAGAGGTTCAGAGTTTGCAGGCATTTCTGATCCAAAGTCCTTTCTGCCCCTCTTCTGAGAAGCTAAAGCAAAGCCATCTAAAGCAGGAATTATTTTGATTTTTCAAATGTGATGTTAGTACTGTTAAAAAATCTTCAGGTCTCAACTGAGAGGGTGTCCTATTGTCTTTAATACTTCATCACAAGCAGTTCTCAGCCTAAACCAATGGAGCTGGACAAAGGATAAGGGATGATAAGCACGATCTTGGCTTAGACATGGACAGTCAAGCAGAGAGTCATTGTGTGGCTGGCCCAGAGTGCTGCAATTCTGACAAGTTCCAGTTCAGTGCTTCAAACACAGGATTATATGATCTTCCATTGACCACGTTCATTTTATGTAATAACCTTTACATGGTTACTGTATTAACTGGTATATACATAAAAATGTTATCTTGAACTTTGGGGTCAATTTATTTCATGTAGCTGTAGAGCATAGTAGTATAGAACATCTGTTAGAATTTCGTGTAGGATCTACATTATGCAGGAAAACACCATGGATGCAAAATGGGTTAGCCCCCCAAACGGGGCCTGCCATGAAAAGAAGAACCCAATAGAAGTTGGACAAAACTAAAAAACTCCAAAAAACAAGATGTGAGGATTTTTGGAATCTGTAGTCTTTGTACTTCCAAATATGTAAATAAAAGATTTTCTCTTTTCTTCCATTATAAAGTTTGTAAGACTTAAATTGTATCCTATTGTTCATGAAAAATTTTAATTTATAACCCAGAATTATTTTGTCAACCGCTGGATAAAGCCATGCATTAGACAGAACAAATTCTAGAATAATTTCAGTTTATCTTTTTTACTGTCATGCCAAAAGAAAGCAATGGTCTGAATATCATCTCTGCTGCTGCCTCCTCACACCACAGAGTTTGCCAAAACTGTCATGAGGATAATGCTTTGAACAGCTGAGTTTATGTTGATTGTGATAGAATCATAGAATAGTTAGAGTTGGAAAGGACCTTAAGATCATCCAGTTCCAACTACCCTGCCTTGTGCAGGGACACCTCACACTAAACCATGCCACCCAAGGTTCTGTCCAACCCGGCCTTGAACACCGCCAGGGATGGAGCATTCAGAACCTCCCTGGGCAACCATTCCAGTGCCTCACAACCCTAACAGGAAAGAATTTCTTCCTTATATCTAATCTAAACTTCCCCTGGTTAAGTTTTAACCCATTACCCCTTGTCCTATCACTACAGTCCCTAATGAAGTGTCCCTCTCCAGCATCCCTATAGCTCCCCTTCAGATACTGGAAGGCTGCCATGAGGTCTCCACGCAGCCTTCTCTTCTCCAGGCTGAACAGCCCCAACTTTCTCAGCCTGTCTTCATATGGGAGGTGCTCCAGTCCCCTAATCATCCTCGTGGCCCTTCTCTGGACTTATTCCAACAGTTCCATGTCCTTTTTATGTTGAGGACACCAGAACTGCACACAATACTCCAGGCGAGGTCTCATGAAAGCAGAGTAGAGGGGCAAGATCACCTCCTTTGACTTGCTGGTCACGCTTCTTTTGATGCAGCACAGGATATGGTTGGCATTCTGGGCTGTAAGCGCGCACTGAAGCCAGCTCATGTTCATTTTCTCATCGACCAACACAGAATCACAGAATCCCAAAATCCCAAGGGTTGGAAGGGACCTCAGAAGATCATCTAGTCCAACCTCCCTGCAAGAGCAGAGCAACCTAGAGTACATCACACAGGAAATTGTCCAGGAGGGCCTTGAATATCTCCAACATAGATCCAAAACCCCCAAGTCCTTCTCCGCAGGGCTGCTCTGAATCTCTTCTCTGCCCAACCTGTAGCTGTGCCTGGGATTGCTCCCACCCAGGTGTAGGACCTTGCACTTGGCATGGTTAAACTTCATGAGGTTGGCATCAGCCCACATCTCAAGCGTGTCAAGGTCCCTCTGGATGGCATTCCTTCCCTCCAGGGTATCAACCGAACCACACAGCTTGGTGTCATCGGCAAACTTGCTGAGGGCGCACTCAATCCCACTGTCCATGTCAGCGACAAAGATGTTGAACAAGACCGGTCCCAACACCGATCCCTGAGAGACACCACTCATTACTGGTCTCCAGCTGGACATTGAGCCATTGATGACAACTCTTTGCGTGCCGCCATCCAGCCAGTTCTTTATCCACCGAGTGGTCCATCCATCAAATTGATGTCTCTCCAATTTAGAGACAAGGATGTCGTGTGGGACAGTGTCGAACGCTTTACACAAGTCCACGTAGATGACATCAGCTGCTCTACCCCTGTCCGTCAGCTCCATAGCGCCATCATAGAAGGCCACCAAATTGGTCAGGCAGGATTTCCTCTTAGTGAAGCCATGCTGGCTGTCACCAAGCACCTTGTTGATTTTCATGTGCCTTAGCATGCCTTCCAGGAGAATCTGCTCCAAGATTTTGCCAGGCCCAGAGGTGAGACTGACTGCTCTGTAGTTCCCTGGGTCATCCATTTTCCCCTTCTTGAAAATGGGGTTATATTTCCCTTTTTCCAGTCATCAGGAACTTCACCTGACTGCCATGATTTTTCAAATATGATGGCCAGTGGCTTAGCAACTTCATTCACCAGCTCCTTCAGGACCTGTGGATGGATTTCATCAGGTCCCATGGACTTGTGCACGTTCAGATTTTTAAGATGGCCTCAAACCAGATCCTCTCCTACAGTGCGCCCAAGGTCTTCATTCTCACAGTCCCTGCATCTGCCTTCCAAGACTTGGGTGATGTGATCTGGAGCTTTAAACTGTTTGGTAGGCACAGTGGTCACGGGTGTGAAGTTCTGAGGAACAATAATTAAGCAGATTGTTAAGACACTTCTTGACATAAAATTGATGGCAAGCAGAGATATTGGCTGAAAAGTCTGACAAAAAGACATAAAGCTACAGAGGCAGAAAGATTCTGCTAAGTAAACTCAAATCTCCCACATCTGTTATCTACACTAACCTGTGCATCCATGGTTGAGTCCCTCTTGGGGCAAGTCTGCACATTCGTTGCTTTTTACACTGCTGAGAAATGACTTGGCACTAGCTCCAAAGATACTGAGGTTAGCCTGGCCACCCGGTGAAGTGCTCTGCTCCAGCTATGAAATCCAGCTCTGATGCAGCACCTCTGCCCTTTGCTGGGTAAACGTATCAAGTGCAGTATTAATGTGAACATTTCTGATTCTGCTGTGCAGTGGTGGTGGTACAAAATGTAGAGCTCTGTCTGCCTCAGATCTGCTTTGTCAACACTTGACTAATGGCAGTTTTCTACCTAGCATGAATGACTTGATGATAAATACGTAATGGATTGTCAGGCAGTTAGGTATGTGGTGATAGAGGCCAGAAATAAGGAGGACCTTTGACTCTTACATTAATCCACAATGTAGTTTGCATAAGTTACATGACTGGTCCATTTTCCTTGCCCATTTAATAACATATGTATTTTAGAGTGAGGTTTTCCAAGCCACCTAGTGCATTAAAATATCTTTTTCCCCTTTCATTGCCTCTAAAGTCTCTAAATCAAATTCTTCCTGCTGCTTAGAAAGAACTCTAAAGTTCTTAGAGCTTTTACATAAGGAAATTAAGAAGTGCAAGAATAAAAGCCACAAAATGCATATCACAGAAGTATAATTATTATGGCATGATGGTTACCTCACATTTGAGTACCTATTGCCCAGAGAAGAGGAAGATGAGAAATATAGATTTAAGGTTAGAAGGTACCATTTCTTCTGACACCCTGTGTAGCTCTGACCACAAATTTCACCTGCCTATTCCAAAATTGAACTCGGTAAGCTGTATTTGGCTGCTGCACCCTTTTAAGGAAGGCAAAAAATTTTGAAGTGAAGGCCTGAAGCAGATGGGCTGATGACATGCTTTGCTGGTTTGTTCTAATGGCAGATCACCTTCTCTGTTAACAATTTGTACTTTAGTTCCCCTTTGGATCTGGCTTTAGTTTTGAGTGGCTGGGTTTCATTTTGCCCTTCTGTGCTAGATTAAAGAGCCCTTTAGTTACCAATATTTATTTTTTACAAAGGCACTTATATACTCTTGTCAATTCAGTACTTAGGCTTTTTGGTAAAGTAAAAAGCTGAGTTCTCCAAGCCTCTTTCGCTAAGTCATTTTTCTACAGCCCTTCAATATTTTTTGTTTGTTTTCTGCACACTCCAATTTTTTATCTGTATTCCATTCTCAGTCTCTCTAATGCCTAAGTGTGATTAAAACAGTCTTCCACTTCTTATTCACCTTCCTCTGTTCATATATGTGGCAGTTTCATAAGCTCTTCTGCCATAGGAGATGATGCAGCATTGCCTAGCCCCTGTGACCACTAAATCCTTTTCACAGTTGCTAGTCTTGGGATGTAATCTTCCAGTCTATGTGCAGAGCCCTTTTGTCCCTTGTTCTTTAATGCATAAATTAACAA